GAACTGTTAACCATGTAGTCACGAGAGAGCTACGCACTGGTGGTCAGATAGAGGTTCCGTTATGCTAGTTACTCACTTGGAGCCTCGTGCGCGCGGTGCTAAAACTCTCTGGACGGACAGCTGAGTGGGAACGGAAGAATCTATAAAGATGACGGCTGGTTCAATAAAAATTGCAAACAGTGAAGGGGAGAGTGGGCATCCCTGCCTGGTGCCCCTCAAGAGACAGAAGCTGGAGGATGTCTGGTCATTTGTTCTAACACAAGCTGTTGGGGAATTATATAATATTTTTAACCAGTTTATGAAAGAGGATCCAAAACCAAATTTGTGTAAAGTTGCAAATAGAAATTTCCAGTTAACTCTGTCAAATGCTTTTTCTGCGTCTAAAGAGAATATTGTAGTTTCTAGGTTTTTACTGTAAAGTTGCAAATAGAAATTTCCAGTTAACTCTGTCAAATGCTTTTTCTGCATCTAAAGAGAATATTGTAGTTTCTAGGTTTTTACTGTATGAGTAGTCTATCAAATTAAGTAATCTACGTGTATTTGTTGACGAGTGCCTACCTTTTATGAAACCAGTTTGGTCAGGATGAATTAAGAGGGGGGTTATTTTCTCTAGTCTCTTTGAGAGAGCTTTGCAGATTATTTTAAGGTCTACATTTATAAGGGATATTGGACGATAGCTTGAGGGATATACAGGGTCTTTGCCTGGTTTTAGCAGGAGATTAATGTTTGCAGAATTCATATTTGATGGAAGTCTGCCCTTTCTTTGATTTCCAACAATGTTCACTGAGTGGCCTTTAAAGGAGCTGCAGGCTTGGGCACGTTCACGCTGGCTTAATCTTTTAACGAAACCTGCTGGTCACCTGATTTAAGCACTGATTGGAAAAACGTGCTCAACTCACGCTTCATCGAGTGCCGGGTCTACACACCAAGTTTATTTCAGTTTATGAAACAGCTGCTGAGAACCTATGTTTCTTTTAGCTGTCATGAAGAGGCTTCCATGTTTTTTGTGGTTTTGTGCTAATTTTTCTGAAGTCTGGAAAAAAGAAAAAGATGACCTTTGAGAAAGGTGGAGACTCCAATATGGCCCTCAAGTAACATCTAACAGTTACAATACAATAAACAAAAAAACAGACTCATCTGGGATGGTGGGAAAGAGTCTGTTGTCCCAATGTGTTGGTCAGTTTCTGTTCAAGCCGAGTAACTCAACAAACGTAGACTCTCATTTATCAGCATCAACTGAGTCCATTTGGTTTCTGGGTGACTTTATTTTGCTAATTATTGATCTACTTTGTTGATGAATCATCTCGAAATAGTAGGTTAACGTATGTAGAAGTGATTTTTAGTAGCTGGTTGCTCGACTGACGTTTGCTGCTTGGAAAACTGTCCAGCTGTATGATGTGCGTGCATCGGGTCTCCTTACAATATATTTGGTTCCTTAAGATGGATTATGATTTCAAACTAATCCTCTTCACAGTGTGACCTTGACTTCACTGTACATTATCCCTTGCATAACACAGTATATGTAGGGTCGCCCTGAAAGCTGCGCTGCTCAAAGCTTCTGAAGAACTGAGATAATATTGCAGCTTTAAAACCGCCCTCCCGCGACGTCTCACTACCTGGTAGATATCCTCAAATGCTTCTCAGCACACAGAGTGGAGGAAATAACTATTTATTATTTATATTCCCGACTGAGTTGCTTACTTACAGAAAAATGAACAGTCTCCGATTTTTATGGTAGTCTAGGAGCTTGGAAAGACTACGATGACCTGGATGACTGAGAACCTTCACAGACAGATTTTTATGCTAGTTTTTGATGGAGGAAAGGCATTAGATAAAAATTATACAATAATTTACATATCAGTGTGTGAAATAAACCAGTCAGACTTCACGTTCCTACAGACTGGCTTTTAACCCATGTGGCACACAGACTTCAGTCAATCAGTCACTTACAGATCCTCCTGATCCCAAATCGCTATTGGTGTGTATAACACACACCTGTCCACAGAATCAGTTTCATCCATTCTAACCTCTTCACACCTCAGAGAAGACCAAAGAGCTGTCTTAGGACGTCAGCATCAAATGAGCATCATAGTCTGGAGCTCCATGCAAGATCTCATCTTATGAGTGGTGGATCTCCCCAAAACTACATCTGATCTGATCTGAAGGCCCAGAACATCATTGGTAGCACATTGCACCATAATGGACTAAAGTGTTGCAGTACCCACAATACCCCCTCCCCGCCACCCCCTACAAGAAACTGTCACGGTCCGCTGTGACGGACCGAGTGGAGAATGCGTGTAATGGACCCAGGTGCGTACACAAGTGAACAGACGGGAGTGAGCTTTAACAGAAGGCGAGCCTTTGGCCCGTTCAGCCACCCGTCTCCGCTGGAGGGTCCGAGGGGCCCGTTCAGCCACCCGTCTCCGCTGGAGGGTCCGAGGGGCCCGTTCAGCCACCCGTCTCCGCTGGAGGGTCCGAGGGGCCCGTTCAGCCACCCGTCTCCGCTGGAGGGTCCGAGGGGCCCGTTCAGCCACCCGTCTCCGCTGGAGGGTCCGAGGGGCCCGTTCAGCCACCCGTCTCCGCTGGAGGGTCCGAGGGGCCCGTTCAGCCACCGTCTCCGCTGGAGGGTCCGAGGGGCCCGTTCGCCACCCGTGCTCCGCTGGAGGGTCCGAGGGGCCCGTTCAGCCACCCGTCTCCGCTGGAGGGTCCGAGGGGCCCGTTCAGCCACCCGTCTCCGCTGGAGGGTCCGAGGGGCCCGTTCGGCCACCCGTCTCCGCTGGAGGGTCCGAGGGGCCCGTTCAGCAACCTTCCGCGTCTGCTGGAGGGCCCGAGGAGCCCACCCAGCACATCTCTACATCATCACCTGCTGCATTCACGCCACCGCCTGCTGCATTCACGCCACCGCCTGCTGCATTCACGCAGCCTGCATCGCCAGCTTCTAATTGCCATTCATCCTGCCTGCAGCGTCCGTGCCTCGGTCCGCTCCCGCCCGTCAGGTTCCGCAGCCGTCCCGCTGCCGTCAGGTTCCGCAGCCGTCCCGCTGCCGTCAGTTCCACCGCCCGTGGTAGTTCCGGCCTCCGCTGCGTCAGGCCGACCGCCCTGGCATCCGAGCCTCCGCTGCGTCACCACGCCTATCCTCCGCAGCCACGCCTGGCCCCCCTAGCCCGCCTGGCCGGCGCCTCAGCCACGCTTGGCTCCAGCTCCGCCTTCAGCCCGCCTGGCCCGGCCTCCGCCTCGCCCGCCTGGCCCGGCCTCGCCTCAGCCCGCCTGGCCCGGCCTCGCTCAGCCCGCCTGGCCCGGCCTCCGCCTCAGCCACGCCTGGCCTCGGCCTCGCGCCTCAGCCTCGCCTGGCCCGGCCTCCGCTTCAGCCTCAGCCACGCCTGGCCCGGCCTCGCGCCTTCGAGCCACGCTGGTCCAGCCTTCAGCCTCCGCTTCGCTTCGCTCGCCTGGTCCAGCCTCGGCTCCGCCTTCGCTGCTTGCCTCGCCGCGATCGCAGGCCTGCGGTGTCTGCCACAGCCGGTCCAGCTCGTCAGAGCCTGCCTCGCCTCACGCCGGCGCTGCCTCTGCCTCGCCTCCCTGTCCGGCTCCGTCGCCTGTTCCACGCCCAGGCCTCATCTCGGGTGCAAGCATGGCAGCCGCTCGTGGGGGCCGCTGCTCGCGCGGACGGCCTCCTGAAGGTGCTCTTCGTCGCCGCCGCTGCCTCCGGCGGACGGCCTCCGATGCCTCCCGCGCTCGCGGCCGGCCTCCGAACTGCCTCGCGCGCCTTCGCCGCCCTCGACCCTTGTCGCGCGTGCTCCGCCGCGCTCCTGACTCTCTGTCGCCGCCGCTCATCCGGCGCTCCGGACCTGCTCGGTGGCTGCCACTGCCTTCCAAGTGGTCGGCCCCCGGAACTGTTTGCCTCGTTGCCGCCGTTGCCGTCCGCACGGTCGGCCCCCAGAACTGCTTTGCCGTGCCGCCGTTGCCGTCCGCACGGTCGGCCCCCAGAACTGCTTCCTCGCCGCCGTTGCCGTCCGCACGGTCGGCCCCCAGAACTGCTTTGCCTCGCCGCCGTTGCCGTCCGCACGGTCGGCCCCCAGAACTGTTCTGCCTCGTTGCCGCCGACGGTCGGCCTCCGACTCCGTGCCGCTGTCACGGTCGGCCTCCGAACTGTTTGCCCGTCGCCGCCGTTGCTGTGTGCAGCGGTCGGCCCCCTGACTGTGTACTGTGGACTAGTGACCAGTCGTGTTTTGGTTCTGGACTCTGTGCTCCTTGTTTTTGTTTCGGACCCTCCTTCCTGGACCCCCTCCGCCCGCCCTGGCTTGGTGCTTCCTGCTTTTTTTATTTTGTTTGGGGCTGTCGGGAGCCAGCCCTTAGAGGGGGGGTACTGTCACGGTTCTGGGTCCGTTGGACCCAGTATTTTGAGGTTATTGTGTTTTGATTTAAGTTTGCATCAGGGATTGTGTTCTTGTTCTCTTGTCGGGTTATGGTAATGTTTATGGTGATGATTATGATTTCTATTATTAGAGTTCCATGTTTCTGTTTATCTGGGTTTAAGATGCAGGTTTAGTTTCATATGTTATTTCCTGTCTGTCTCTCGGTGTCGAGCCTGCGTGTGATGTTTTATTGTGAAGGTCTGTGTCATATGTGAGTGTGCTCAGTTTACGTTTCCCCTGTTCCGTCAGCTCAGATTCCTCCCAGCTGTGTTGCCCTCCTGTGTCTCATCCCCTGATTACTGGTGTGTGTATTTAAGCCCTGTGTGTTCTCCTGCCTGTTGCCGGTTCGTCTGCATAACTCCGTGTCAGTCTGTTACCCTGTTCCTTAGTTTGCGTCTCTGCTCTCCGTTTTGTGGACTTCAGGTTTGCTCTTTAGTTTCTCCCAGTTTAGGTTTATCATTACTCATGCTTCATTTCCTGTTTTTGCCACTGCCACCGTGTTAATAAACTTCACTCATATCGTCAGTTTGCTGCATTTTGGGTCCTCCTTTTCCTCCACTCCACACGGCTCACTCCGCCAGCCGTGACACTGTCAGTACTGTCAGTGCAGACGTTTTTAGGACAACATGATAATAATAAATTACAATACTCCAGCCTAGAAATAATAAATGCATGAACTAGTTTTTTAGCATCATTACTGAAGTCACTTCAGAATTATCTTTAAAATCTTTCTATTAATTTGTAAAGCTCTCAGTGCTTTGGTCTCTGACTTGCACCGTAACCATGTCAGACTTCTCATCTGGTGCAAATCTTTCAACAGTCCAGAGAACCGTCCAGTGTGTGCACACAATGTTTAAGATTAATGATATGTGCTGTATAAATGAAATTGCCATGACCATAGATACTAGGCTTTTAATGTTATGTCACTGTTGGCATTAGATGGAGGTGGGCACTCTGGTATTCTCCAGTTGCATAATAACAGGCAGCACCAATCTACGATTTCTGCTGGTATCCATTCTTATAGGTGCCTACCTTTTCTTTTATGTCACTGTTGGTATTAGAAGCAGGAAACCAATTTAACAAATGATCTCTCCTGACTTACAAAGCACCAGTGTATCCCGGTGGGCACTTGCATTCTCCGGTCGCATGATGACAGGCAGCACCATTCTGGCATTGGCATTTCTGCTGGCATCCATTCCCATAGGTGCCTACTGCACATGACACCTCACAGCGCCAACCTCTGTATCCAGGAGTGCAGATACAAGCTCCAGTGATAGGGTTACACAGAGCTCCATTCTGGCACTGGCATCTGTTACTGCAGTGGGAACCCCAGTGATCATTGTCACAAGCTGAAAAGAAAGAAAAAAAAATCTAAATACATCTTTTTTATCTTTCATGTTTATCTTACTTGACATGTGTCACAGAACTGGACATAGGTTGTCATTTATAATTGCATATGAAGCTATAATAGATCATTAAGTTAGAGATGCCTTGAGTCTGCAAGTAAAATCTATTATAGGGAGTTAGCACCTTATTCGGCTTGCACATAAAAACTCACTCAAAACACTCATCAGTATCACTGTCCAGATCTTTTTTTCAGTCCCCCAGAGTGCTGAAGTCGATTTAAATATAGCTATAATTCTTATTTTTTATAATAATAATAATAATAATAATAACTACTCATCATTCTTCACTACAAAATGCCTCAGGCTCTCTTAGGTGTGCCTTTCTCGAATGAAAAATCAATGTGCTCAGCATTGTGTGGAGTTTCTGGGCTTTCCTAATTGCTTTCCTAAACAAATAAATGCAGCGCAGCTTTATTTCTGCATCCTTCATTATAACCCCAATCTGAGTTGTAAGTGTAATCTTTGCTCCTCTATACCTGGAACAGAATATTCTTTTCTGGCATGTCATAGTATAGTCTTCTGCCTTTGGTTCTTCATGAATATAGCACCATCTACAGGTTTTGGGGGTTTCTATCAGGCCAAATGGTTTGTGGGTGGAACACTGGAGTTTTCTGTATATTCTGCTGTCAGGAAGATATTCATTTTTTGTTGTATACTATACACACACATCTAAATTTAAAGAAAGAAAGAAAGAAATAGGTGCCATTTAAGCTATGCAAGGCTTTTATGCATTTGTCAACACATGGAGTATTTATTAGCGGTAACTTATTCATCTTATTCATTGTAATATATCCATGATTTGTGTATTATCATCCATTTTCCTGTGGTTGTCCTGCTAAATTGACATATAGCTGGTGTTGGTGTCAAAGTCTTTCTGTGTATTCACATTTCTTCTTCTGTTCTCAAGTTATTTGTTCCCTACCTCTTTCTCCTGGCCTCCAACATCCCTCGTGCCTTATTGCAGTGCCTGCTCTAATTCCTATCACTGTCAATTCCTATGACTGATTTAGTAAATCTTGTTCTATCTGTCCTATACATCACAGTTATTAGAAGTCTAAGAACTGTGATGTATAGAATCAAGTGGCTTAAGAGTACTGGCACCAGGATGTATACATGTAAATTACATCTGCAAAGTTAAGGACTGTTAAAATGTTGCACAATCCTCAGCCTACTGCTAAAAGGCTGAGGATTGGCAGCATATAATGTTGCAGAGGGAAAGTCTCAACTAAAAATGAACAAAAAGACAACATATCCACTAGGGATGAAGCACCGTCCCGTCAAGCTCTCATTAATTTATGTTTAAAGACTGATAATTGCCTACAAGAACTGACTACAAATCTCATCAGTCCAGTGCATGACCTTCCACACCATGTCCTCAGTGCAATCTTGTTTTGTCTTAAACATAAGCAACTGGCTAATACATTTTGGCTGTAGTTTTTTGGGCTTCAACTTTTATTCTCAAAGCCTGGTGTATCTGCTAACTAATGAAAAGCTGCTGGCTGTGAAAAATCCACAGTAAAACACACTGATTGCAGTTGTATCCTTTTACAAGCAACTTTATTTCTGCATGTATTAATATGTAGTGCAATGAAGCACCACAAAAAAACTCAGGGACTCAAAAATACTTGTGGTTTCCAGTGCTATCGTAGCCTCCTAGTAGATGCACCTATAGTATAAAATTGAAAATCTTTGGTGTCATCTTGCTTGATTTTCAGAAAAAATAACAGATAGTTTGACTGAGTGTCAAAACTAGTCCAAATTTTTTAATAGTTGAACACAAATCTGAACATTGACATTTTAAAAAAGATAGGATGCTGTGTAAAATGTCAATAAAAAGGTAGTAATAGCTCTCAGTTACAGTTGTTTTTTATTAGCGATAAATGTTATTTAAGATCGAGCTCCTTCTTTCGACTACCACAAACAGCTTGGCATTTATATGCCTAGCATGCAGAGTAATGCTGCCATTTCCAGCTACTCCACTATTCTGAAGTTGTTCAAGTGATTAAAAGGCTCCTTTTCTTCCTTCTGCATTAGTGCGCTTCACTCTGGCCTGATAAAATGTACATACTCTCTTACCTCCGGCGGTTTGGCCTTGTGTGACAAACAGCAGCGGGGCTGAAGGGGGAGGAGGAGAATAGAGATACTAACATGTACATATAAAAAAGTCTCTATTCAAGTCATATCCACGATACCTTTTGAAACCTGTACCTCGATTGAATAAAAGCTCAAGTCGCAGGAGCTTAGGCTATTCATCTACTTCCCGGAGAACAGATTTTATTGCTCTTCACCTGCACAAACAGCACACACACACACACACACACACACACACAAACATGCAGAAAAAATACTGTGGCAAGGTTTTGTCACAACGCTGGTTGCATCACAGTCTCAAATAGGATCCTAAGGATTTTATTTTCTAAAATGTTCAACATGAGAAAAATTTGTCCGACCTTACATTGTTATCCTGAGCTCTCACTTTCTGCCACAGTAAATTCAACTGTTTTATGTATATTCACTTGAATCTGCATCAGATAAATTTTAAAAGCTTCTTCTAATCACAAACGAAGAAAGAGTATAAAAGAGTTGGGTGCGTAGAGAAAAGACTGGGAGCCAGTGACTGCCAGTTGTTCAGAGTGGGTTCAGATCTTACTCTCCACACTGGGGAGCCTGGATGTTTTTCCATCTATTTAGTGATTACCCAGCCTGCCAAAAATGGTGCACTCATGGGAACAGAAAGCACTGTCACACTAATACGAAGGATTCCCAGTGAGAAGAAACAGCTGTAGCATTCCTCCAGTTTTCCTCTCTCAGGAGGTGTGTGTCATCCTCCAGAGTTTTTAATTGTCACGTTATTTTGTTAAACATGTCTGTAGACAGGTAAATCAAACCAGTTATTAGACATGTTCACAATTTAAGGAAATGAGAGAGGGTTTTTAGGAAACACTGTTCAATGTTCGGTTTCTATGCCACATGTTAAAACAAGATCTAGAGAGTGATTAAAGTGGTGGGTTCTTTACAGGCTGTCAGTTTTAGTATCTACATGAATGTTAAAAATCACCTACAATTAATTATTTTATCTGAGCTGAGCACTAAATCAGATAAAACGTCTAAAAGAGGATGATTTGGGCTTGTTTCAGGGCCACAACACCTGGGCACTTTGCAGACATAAAGCCAACCATGAACTATACTGTATACCAAAGTTTTCTTGAGCCAAAGTGAGGCCATTTCTCAAACAGTAACAGCAACGTTCTTTAACGATTTAAATATTAATTAAATATTTGAATAATTTAAATAACAGCAATACTATAATTAGTTATAAAGCATTTTGTTGGCTTTTAGGGCTCAGATCACGAAATGTGTGGGCATTATACAAAATATTTTTGCTGTTTGAGGTGGAATTACGTTTAATCATTTCTGTCATTAGCAGACTACTGAGAGTCTTTGTTGACAACTAAGAGTTCAAAGTGATCTACCGATATAAACACAAAAGAGAATATTTTTTACATAGACAGTGAAACATAGTCCATAATATTGATGTTACTTTGATTTCACAGCTGAATTTGAGCCCCTCCTGAGGATCTTGTGTTATTATCATGTGTACTAAATCACAAGCTCCACTGCCTCAGGTCATTTCCTCCCGCAAAAATTTCTCCTCCTGCTATTACTCCTAACCATAACCCACTCCTCCCCACCCATAAACACACACACACACACACACACACATGCACATGCACACACAGCACATATTGTCTTTGCCATTTCCTGTTCTTCGTATGTCAAATTGAGCCTCAGACATATTGTGGTTCACTGACCTGTATGAGACAGTCAGCAGATTAGTCTTTCTTCGATCTTTAGGCCATTTAATACATATTACAGAAAGCCACATGAATATGAACGGAGTGACTAGTTCCATATACTGAGCTATTTTTGCTACATTTTACAGAAAAACCTAGTCCCTACTTCAGCACCCATTTCAAGTCAAACATGTCAGTGTTTATTGATTATTGATACGATTATTGATGTCTTCCAACTGCAATACAGATTGTCCATCAGATATTAAAAACATAAAATCGTTTTCTAACAATAGCTGTCATTACTGATGAAAAATATTTCCCTCAATCTTGAGCGCCTTGAGGTGACTGGTGGTGTAATTTGAATCTATTTCATCCAAGATGGGGTTGAGAATTAACTAGAAAAAACTTGAAACTTGAGTTCATAAATATCCTTGTTAACTCTCATCTGAGTATCAGAGGACATTATTGACCTAACCATTAAAAATGAATGCCTAACCCTGACCCTTACCCTAAACCTACCCATAACCTAATTGTAACCCTGACACTAAAACCACATTTTGAGCCTCAAAAAGGCCTTCACAAAGAAATTCTAGCCTTAAAATTTTAACTGTGTAGCTGTAAAAGAAAGCCGAACATAGATTTAAGGGTTAGTCCCAAAGAGCTCAATGGTTTTCAGAAAGAGATCTTAATATGGATATGGACCGTGAAGGACTACTGCAGGGCAACTACTGCAGGGTTAATTGTGGAAGAAAGAAATGGCTTTGCACAAAAACTACCGAATTCATGTGCAAGTGATAAAAACAAAGCAAGATACTGTGTTTGAACTTGACTGTTCCTTCAATACAGTAACTTTAACCACATATTTTTCCCTCACTTGTCTCCTGGGTTTGCAACATTTTTTATCAAGTCATTCCTACAGCTTTTATTTTCAAATAAAATATAACAAATATAACACCTGTGTTTGCCTTTCTGTGCAAGATACATTTTAAGATTTAAAAAATGAATGAGCAAAAAATAGAAAAAGAAACAATAATTAACAACTGAAGTAATTTGTTCACACTTTCTATCCACAAAGAAAAATGTGTGTGTGTGTGTTCCTGTCTAGCTATCTTTGTGAGGACCGAAATCTGCATTCTACTATACTTGTGA